CACAGAGGACTCACAGTGCCAAGACCAGGAAAGTCCCAGGCAAAACAGCACAAATCTGCCTTGAGTCCTCTAAGTCACCAGGTACTCTGATGGGCGCCTTGCTCCTGAGAAGCTGCCCTTGTGTGGTTCTCATGTGCCCTATTCTCAAATATCCAGTTCCTTCCAAGGGTGTAAAGGAACGCAGCCCCTCCGCCACCACCTTCCACACTGAAGACGAGCTCCCTCAGGTGTCTTCCAAGGCCACACACTGTCACATCCTCATGAACCATGTCAGCCTCATCAGTGTCACCTCCTTCCTGTCAAGCCCACCATGCTCCCCTCCCATGCCTCAGGCCTCAGCACTTGCTCTTTTCCTTGCTTGAACCCCTCTCTCTCGGTGAACCCCATGCAGCAATCAGCTGGCCCTCAGCATGGGCATGAGCCCCACTTCCTTGATTGACTGCCCACCTCCTGCAGCCTGTGCTGCCTGGCTTGCACGCTCCTGGCCTGTGCTCCAGACACCCCAGGAAGACACTTGCAGAATCTAAAGCAATGGTTCCTTCAGTTCATCTTCCTGAAAACAGTCCAAACTGCATCAACAGGAACTGAGCTTTTGGCTTCTATCACCTCGGGATTTATTAGCACAGAAGTTGTTCCTAACAGACAACTATTAAATGTTTGTCTATCAACTCTTCATTCAAAATTAAAAACACAAAAATTAAAAATACAATGAAATGCCATTTATTCAAGATGGTTTTGGCACAAATCCCAAAGCCCAGTGGCACACTCTGCTGGAAAGGTTATAGAGAAACAGACATTCACACCCAAGACAGTGAGGTTATGAAACGGATCAGCCCTCATTAAAGGGAATTGGGCAACATCTAGCAAAACCACTTATGTATTTACTCTTTGACCAAGAAATCCCAATCCTAGGAGCCTGTTCCAAGGAACCCTTGCAAAAGTAGGGAGACAATGTTTACAAGAGGCCCTGTGCACTGCAAGATTATCTGCAGCTGCCAGGACAGAAGCTAACAGAGCCTCTTTAGGGGGGAACTCAGGCTGGCCACCATGGAGAGCTGCGTGGCTACAGAGGAGGAATGCCACAAACCGATACAGTCCACAGGAACTGGGCTCTATGACACATGGATTTGTCAAGTGTTCTCTAAGCCAGGCACAGTGGTGCCTGCCTGTAACCCTAGCACTCTAGGAGGCTGAGGCAGGATTGCAAATCACGCCCAGTGTGGACAATTTGAGCAATTCAGCAAGACTATGTTTCACATTTTAAATAAAAAATGAACAATATGTTATGGGATGTAACTCAGAGAGAAGGCCATGGATTCTATCTCTAGGATCATCAGAAGGGAAATTAAATACTCCATAAAAAGAAGTTGTATAGATGCCACATTTTATCTGATAGTACAGGTATACATCTGTGTGTGTAGCCAGATTTATTTAAATTACAAAAGAAGTATAAACCATGAAATATAAGTAGAGATTGAGCTAAATGAAGAGTCAAGAAAATGGCAAGAAATGTGTGATTTCCCCAAACACCCTTCATTTCCTCAATTTCAGTCTGAAACACAACAGTTGGTAATAGATTCTGAGAATCAAAAGTAAATTTAAATAAAAGAAACCAAGTCCCTTTGGGATTGGTGGCATAACCACATGGAAGGAAATTACTTCAAGTGATTTTAAAAGGAATAATTCTGCAAGATCCCCCAGCAAACGATGTATACCAAGGACCGAAAGAAGAGAAAAAAGCCATCTTTAAAGGTTTTCAAAAATCAAAAGCAACTGAGATTACGTGAAGCTGTTATTCTGCGCGCTTTGAGGAAAGACAGAGAAATGTGGACACAGATTCTGAGGGGGAGGGGAAGAGAAAGACGCAGAGTGAAGGTCAAGAAAGGCCCCAGAGCCCCGGAGAAGAGCTGGCAGTATCAGAGAAGCTTATGGTGCATTTTATTTTTGAAAGCATTTTTCTGGAAACTGCACTCTTCAAAGAACCATCTGTAAATAAGGTTAGTGCTTGAAGCAGAGAGAAATATGCAATTCCCAGAGCTGCAGAAGGAAATCGGTGACAGGGTTAGGAACATCCTGTGATCCCAGAGAGTGAAAAGGCGATCAGAGATAATTCAGGTGTGGTCAGAAGAACCCCAGACACAACCTCGAGGTGTTTTGCTGGACTAAAGGGCCACAATTATTTCACCACCTACAAGGGTAAATACTGGGATGGATTAAAATACACCAAATATATTGAAATCCACATGTTAATGCCTCTAGGAGGCAGAAGAAGGAGGAAAGCAAATAAAATATCTTACTGAGCTCATGGAAGACCAATGTATGATTAGCAGGATGTTAGCCGACCAACCTTCTCATTACCAAGGATTTGCAGAAGGTAGAAACACATTTACGCTGCCTTTTCTAGCTGCATCTTCAAGTACTTAAGTAGCTAATGAAAGAACACTAGTTTATAGAGCAGTATTCTATCTACGAGATAAAGAAACAATAATAAAATTAGAAAATCCCAGACGGGGTCCCAGGAATGCTTGGCGGAATACTTGGCGTTATGGTAAACAACATGATTTTCCAACTGGGTGTCGCAGACACCATGAACAGCACGTCACCCACCATTAGCAAGATGGAGATGCGAGCCTGCACCTAACGGGGTATCTGGAAGGCACTGCACATTCAGCAAGGTGCTGAGAACAGAAAAATATGTGCACAGTATGTTCAGAGTCCAGACTGCAGGGAACCCACAACTCAAAGGGCCCAGTTTCTTTAAAAATTATCCATAGGATTTGGTATGAGATGATTTTTGGATGATACCCATTCTTTCTAGGGTGTGATGGAATCTCAGTTTTAATTTGCATTTCCTGAGTGACCAGTGATGTTGAACATTTTCTCATATACTTATTTGCCATTTGTATTTCTTCATCTGAGAAGTGTATATTCATCTCAGAAGCTCATTTTTGGATTGGGTCCTTGATTTTGGGGTGTCTGATTATTTTTAATTCTTTTTGTATTCTAGATATAAATCATTTGTCTGAGGTACAGTTGGCTAAATATTTTCCCAATTAGTGGGTTTTCATTTCACTCTGTTGGTGATTTATTGTGAGGTGCAAAAACTTAATAGCTGGTGGGGCTGCGGGGGAAAAAAGGAACCCTTCTCCACTGCTGGTGGGAGTGTAAACTGGCTACTGTGGAAATCAGTGTGGAGATTCCAAAAAAGCTATTTTTAGAAATCCCATTCAACCCAGCTATGCCCTTTCTGGGTATTTTTCCAGGAAAATTGAAAACAGCATATCACAGCAATATATGTTCACCCAGGTTTATAGCAGCACAATGTGTAATTGGCTAAATCTTGGAAACAACCCACATGCCCATCAACCCAGGCACGGATAAAAGAGATGTGATGTTTTTTGTACAATGGAGTACTACTCAGTTATAAAGACAGATAAACTTGAGGCTTTTAGAGGGAAATGGATGCAACTAGAAGCCAAACTCGTAAGTGACATAAACCAGATTCACATGTATCAACATCACACTGACTTGCTAGTGTGAGAAACTAAAAAAGTAAGGAAGATTCCAAAAGGTACAACAGATACAGTGCAATGGAAAGAAACTGCTCAAAAGGAAAAAACCGAGATGGGGGAAAAGTAGAAAAGAACGAAGGGAAAATCTATACAAAAGATAGCTAAGATAATTGTACTACTGACTGTAAGGAATTGTTCATTGAAAGGAACAGTTAGTGGTTATATTGTTTGATCGATTTTGCATGCCTAGATCTGGTAATCTGAGCAACTATTTTGATGACAAAAATATGCAATATAATAACCATTGTTAATGTCCAACCATCTTGCTTTGAAGTTCTGTACTGTTGGTATTAGTTTTCAGTTTATTATCTTTATTAAAAACATTATCCTCAGGAGGAACAAAGAAAAGAGCCTCAAGACATGGGACTCAAGACAAGTTGCAATGGACAGACTTCACAGAGATCCTGATTGGATACTCTGGTAACCAAAAGTGGGAGTCATCACGAGACCACGCAGGGGCTCTCTGTGCTGGCCAGATAACTGACAATCTCACTAAATCACCATTGTTTGGGGATTTTTGGTTTTTTTTTTTTTTCTTTTAATAATGGTATTATAAAATCTTTTTCTTTGAGAGTCATAAACTAAACTATAATAAACAGAATTATGTGATTTCTTAAATTTTCCACACAATATTTCAGTGGGTATGATACAAGAGCCTGGGTAGGATTTAAATGGGGGGGAAAATGAGCCACGAATTGACAAGGATGAGGATAGCTCTTTCTTTAGCCCGTGCTGCTCGTCTTTGTGTACGTTTAAAATGTATGATGCTAGATTTTTAAAATAACAAATTATAAAGCTATTGTTAAGTGAATTAATGAAATCCAAGGTCTAATCTAGGCTGGTAATATAATTCAAAAAGTGTGGGGCAGAGAATCATTTTTCTTTATCCTGAATGCTTCAAGCAAACTAGGTATGAAGACACTGTATCTTTTTTGATGAATAAAGAAAAAAAGAGTGGATGTAATGAAAGTTAGTTAATTAATTGCACAGCTTCATGGAGACACCCAAGACATCAGACTAATTCTGCTGCCAATCAATGCCAGCTGGGGACAAAGGAGAGCATTTTGTGGCATGAGCAAAGCTTTGCCGGAAAAAGCCACAATGAAGAATTTCTTTGGTTTAACTTGATTTTGTTATTTTGAGTCATGTTTTGAATCCTCCAGCTCAAATGTCTTGGAGGCCAGCCCACATCAGTTAACTGAATGTGGCCTCAAATGACAGGGTTTTCTACCCACGGGAATCCCTTCTTGGAACCTTCATGAGGTAAGGGTCATTTTTGGAGGGCTATTTTATTTTACATTTTTGCTTTTATGTTAAACAGTGTCCGACTCAAGATTGGAAGACCGTAGAGCAATGCTGTTCTTTGCCAGTAATCACGGACTCTGCGCTCAGGAGGTGGCTTTGCGGTCCGAGCGCACCTGCTCTTACCTTTGTAGGAGATGATGGGGTGCTCCGCTCTCTGGCACTGCGGACCCTCCGCCTCCAGCCGGGCAAGTGTGCACAGCCCCAGGCTGGAGAGCAGCCATGCGAGGACGCACGCTGCCTTCATGGTGGGCAAGGGGTCTCCGGCTCCAGGCACTTGTCTTCTACAAAGCTGGTCCTCCCCTCATGTGGGAAAAGTGCCTGAAACACACAAGAGAGAACTGGCTGGTGAGTATAGACTCAAGTTTTCTGGAAGGTGATATTTGAAGAGCCTACACTAAGTGCAATGTTATAATTTGTGGAGTTGAGAGACCATAGACAACACAGACAATCTATTTTTTTCTAGGTGATGTTTCAGACAGACAGGGAAGGAGGGAGGGAGGGAGAGATGACGTATCTCTCTAATTTTATCACATAACCCAAGTTTAAATTCTACTGAGTCACCCTGATCACTTCTAAGTAAAGCCTGTAAAGAGTTGTGGTTATTGAGTGGTTTTCCCTTGGAAGTTTATCATCATTTCTTGAGCAAACACAGAGATCTAAATATGAAAACCTTAGCAATCTCCACCCATCCCATTTCACAAGCAAAATACCCTATGCAATAGAGCCACTGCCATTGTTTTACCAGAAACCTGATGAGTATTACTCTGCCTACCTCATAAACTACCCATAATCTGAGCATGTGCCAGCCTGCATAAGTTCTGGCTAGAGTCTTAGTGAGTCAAATAGACTCTGGATTCAGCAACAGCTGGGTGAAATGGTGTTGGAAATGCTGGAAACCTTTAACGATCATGAGCAATTTAAAAGATTAACAAGCTTTAAAGGAAGATAGGCTTGTAAGAGTAACCAGACTCCAACTTCTTAGAAACCCACAAGGAGGAGCAGAAGTGCTTTGGGAGTTCAGAGAAAGTTATCTTGCCCTTTAGAGGGATCAAGGGAAGCCCCGATAGGGATTCGTGTTTGAGTTTAATACTGAAGGATAAAGAGGATTCCCACAGATGGAGATTCTTGGAAGGTCATTCATGCCAAGGAAAGGGGATGAAAGGCACACTGGAACATGCAACACGTTTGGGGATGTTGTATTATACTTATCCAGACACCAGCAACTACAAAAGGGAACAGATGAAGAGATAGTAGACTGAATTCCCCCACTAGGAAGGCAAATTATATTAAGGCAAGAGGACTGTATTTCCAGGAAAGAAGCTAGCATAATACATATACTGGTCAGCTTTACTGGGACAAAATACCTGACACCACAACTTAAAGGAAAAGTTTATTTTGGCCCAAATGTCTAGAGGGTTCCAAGGAAGCTACTGCTGCCCAGTTCATGGTTGCCAGAAAGCAGAGGAAAGGGGCTGGGGATTTAGCTCGGAGGCATAAGCGCCTGCCTTGTAAGCAGGCAGTCGCGAGTTTGATTCCTGGTACCGATAAAAACGAAAAAGACCAAAAAAAAAAAAAAAAAAAAAAAAAAAGAAAAGAAAAAGAAAGCAGAGGAAAAGTGAAAAGCACCTGAGAGGAAAGGAGTCAGGGGCCAGATACAGCTCCCCAGGGCACACCTCCAACCACACACACCTAGAAACATGGTTTGTTCATCCACTAGGTGCCTCGCAAGCCAACCAAATTGACAACAAGATGAACCACACAGTACATTAACTTCGATAAAATTATCCCAAAGATCATTCTCACAACAGTGTACAGAGGACAATGAACTGTCTATAGCAGTGGATTAGTTATTCTGAAACTGCTACAAACTACTACTGTTCAGAAAGGAAATACGTGAAGCTATGATTTCAGGTGTTGCCAATGGGAATAAAAAGAAAGGCAAAGAGCAAGTAATAAACAGAGCAGGTAAAGTCCGGCAGTGCTCCCAGAGGAAGGTGGCCACAGATTCTGACTTAGCTCCACTGAGACACAGGTCTAGTTTCCTTCCTTTGCACCTAGATTGACCCTGTGATCGCTCAGTAATTGACACAGCAGCCCCAGGAGGAGGCTCATCCTGAAGATCGGGCCCAGTGACACCGGCAATTTCTACCTCCTGCTCTGAGAACACAGAAACTGCAACCTCAGGCTAGAAGTTCGACTACCCTGCAACTGTCATGCTAGAGAGATCACAGTTAGGTGCTCTGGAAACTAGTTATCCCTGTCAAAGCACCAAATACGGGGTGAAAAGTGTAACTGACAGCCACAGAGTCACACAAGTGAGCTCTACCTAAATTCCGGATCCATAAAATATAAAATACAATGATTGTTGTTCTAATCTGCTAAATTTCCGAAACCCACAGCACACAGGCACAGATGGACTCCTAACTGATAATGGCAGTGACGCTGCAGATAGGAATGTCACTGATTTAAATACGATCATCAAAAGAAGGGTTCAGTTTAGATGAGAATATTATGATTTAGTCTGCTACACAACAGGTTTCAGACGCTGAATGAAGATTTAGAGAAATGCAGTAAACTTGAAATTCCAAGTTAGGTGCTCAGAAAGAAAAAAGTCACAGATAGAAGGTGTGATACGGTTGAAGTCAGAAACTTGGTTGTTTATTTTTAAGGGGGAGTATCAGGAAAATAAAGATGAAGAAAGTTGTTTGTTAAAAAGTAGGAAGCTTTCAAAAGAAGTAGCTGCAAAAAGATGGGGGGGGGGGGGAGAAGAGAGAAAAAAATCAGGAGCTGCTGCTCCTGAATGTGCAGCGAGGGCCCACACTTCCTGGGTGCAGAGAGAAGAAACAGATTTAGCAAAGAGGACAAGTGGCCTCACTCTCAGTAACATCAGGCCATGATCGCTGAGATATCTGGCCCCAGACAGGCCACAGTCAGTGGTCAGTAGGGAGGGACAGGCTGCAGCAGTAACGGAAGACAGGACTCACATGGCAAGGAACCCAGACGGGAAGAGGTGCAGAGATCTGCACCCCCTTAATGCTCCGTGAACCAAAAAAATGCAAAGAAGTCAGGTAACATCAAAACACAAAAATTTAGGAAGATTTTAGGATAGAGAAAACAGATTGACAGAATTTGACTATCTGCCCCCAAACTCATGTTTACATTTTGTTTCAATGGAATGGTATCTGGAGCAAGGCCTTGAACCAATGCTGGATTAAAGTGTTCTAAAGGATAAGAAAAGGACGATGGAAATGTTACAGAGCACAGGGGCTAGGGATGTGGTCAGAGATAGTACATGGTCTTCGTACATACGAGGTCCTGGGTTCAATGCAAATACCAAAAATTAATAAATATATGTAAGAAAAAATTGGTGGATTTCATAGGAGTTGATTCAGTATCAAAAGTAACTAGATATGATGGTCCAATGGTGTTCAGAGTCTCTCATCCATCAACACTTATTGTCAACTGCATACCCATCTCTCCACATGCATGTACTAATTATGGGCATAAAGAAGTGCAGTACAGGATTCACCAGAACTACGATGCCAGCGCAAGTAGGCTTTGAAGTCTTTCAGGATGAAAGAGTCTCTAGAATGCTCGCATATTCAGTTCATGCTGGGAAGCAAATGATCACCCTGCAAACGGAGGCCAGGCAGGAGGCTGGGCTCAGCAAGAGCAAGAGATGCTGAGACTGGGGGCAGCAGAGAAACAGGCGAGAGAACAGGAATCCAGAGGTTATCTATTCACTGGAACAGACAGTGGATGGACAAGTGCTGATTTTCCCGGTGACTTTCACCTTTGGGAAATGAGTCGTAGCCTTCAAAACTGGAGGCCACGTGATGACTCAGATACAGAGGCAAAGATATGAGGTGGCTCATTCTTCGTTATCCGCCTAACCTGAGACTTCAGACATGCAATTTCTTCAAGAAGCATGGCACTAGATAGATCTGTTTTTGGAGAAATGTGCTGCTGTGAAGACCAAGGAGGTTTGGGGCACCACACCAGCCCACTCGGGAGAGCAGCCAGGCAGAGTTTCATAGCCCCATATAGAAGAAAATCAGCGATGATAAAGATAAATCAGGAGGAAGATGGAAGTAATAATAAACCCCCAGTGCAGGCTGGCTGTATAGCAAGCTAGACGCCTGCAGCAGGAACACGCGGGCCCTCACCAAGCAGCATTACACAGGGAAGCGCTGACCTGTGCCAGCATCCAGGATTGAGCCTGAATTAATGAGTCGTGAAGAGCAAATTCTTCTCTTGTACACAGTGGTAGTGCCCTAGACCCAAGTCAAATCAAAAACGCATTCTGTTAACTATGATGTGAGTTCGCAGTCTATTACTGTAACAAAACACAGGGGAAAATCAACAGGAAGGAAGGTGATATTTATTGTGCCTTATGGTTTAAAGGACTCAGTCCACACTCACTTGGCCTTACTGCTTTGGGATGTGAGATACACATGTGTGAGTGTGTGGCAGAGGGGACTTGTTCTCCTCCTGGTGGCCAGGAAACAAAGACAGAGACAGGCCCTCTATATCCTGTAAGGGCAAACCCCCAGTGACCTAACATCCTTCCAAGTTCCAAGAGTGCCATGAGCTGGGGCCAGGCCTTCCCACAAGGGGCCTGGGGGACCCTGGAGATGCAGATTACAATTATGAAGAAAGCTACAGGCACCTACATGCAAGCCCAGCCTTCCTTTCTTGGCATGAGCCAACCCTTCAGTCCTGAACCCAACACCCATCCTCAAGAATGAAAGCCAGAGAAACAGAACACCACGGGCCCAAAATGTTCTTCCTTTGGGATTCAGAAAGGGGCGATTAGAGAAGAGGGCAGCTAAGATGGACCACAGGCCAATGGTGACCAGACGGAATTACACGTTTGCGGCGTTAAACTTAGGCAAGCACACTGAACGAGAACAGGTAATTCTCAGAAGTTTACAGTTTTCCAACCAAGATGTGTTACCTTGTTTCTTCACCATAAAGGTGCTGTCACTATCATCGTTGCTGGGAGCCAGCGAAGGGCGTGTGCAGTGCTCAGGGAGAGGTGTGGGCGTTTCCGAGCCCCTTTCCATCCCTCCAAGCCCACGGCTCTGCACTCTCCTCTCTCCACTCTGCAGGTCCAGCGTCCACTGAATGGCACAGCTCTCACCTCGCGGTGGGGCCCAAGCTGAACACACACCAGGGCTCTTGTGCTCCATCTCAGAATCACTGCCGTTCGTGCACAATCGCTGGTCTCGAGCAGCATCTGTGGCCTCTACACAGGCGATGCGGGTCACACTGCTCTGTTTTTTGTTTCTATTTTTATTTTGGCAACCAAAAATGTC